GGGCTCAAAGAGGAAGGAAAATCGAATTAGAGCAGGTAGCTGCGCTTAGTGGATGAGGCCCTTCTTTCAGTTCTCACTAACTAACGTCGGGTTTCGCGTGAGCCCGATAAGCCCAGGTTGTCGGGATTACCGTGTAAAGTTTTCCCAATAATTTGAAAAATCATCGTAGATAAATAGTCGAAATAGTCGAAATAGTCGCTGTTGAGAAAATTAATATAACTCTGATAGGAATGTTAAAGACGCGTATCGAGAACGGGACTGGGAAAGCCTTAGCAGCTAAAACTTCATTGATGAACGCAGAAAAATTTGCATTTAACATATCAAATTTTCTACAATCGCTCTACGAACAAATGGAGTTAGGCCTGGATGAGACTTATTGCAGCCCTTGGGAAAAGTAGCTGCTTGATTGCGATTGACAAAATTGAATTGCTGTTCTTTTAATTTTATGTATGTACCAGAATATCAAATATATAATTCTAAATTGTTCTGGAATAAAATGTGATATTCGATCGGTTTTGGGAAGGATATGAACAACATTCGTGCAATTTCACCTTGTGGCAACGAACGGTAAAAATCCGTTCATTTCCCGTTTTCATTAATAATGGAAATAGCGAAGAATAGATCTGACGTTGCCCCTAATAAATGGTAAGTATGCGCGAGATTTTCGACGAATGATGATGCTCACTGGAAAAAGCTTGATATGATGCACTATCATATAATGAAGGTGAATTTTTTGGACAAACGGTGGAATTGTACGAATAAGAATGAACTCGAACAATGTCGATTTGAAAAACATTGCAATTAAAAATTGCCACGTGGATACATGCACCAATTTTCTAGTCCCAGATTCTATCATTTCATCGAAATTACAAGTTAGAAGGTATGATTCACCACAGAAATAAAGAGAACATTTATTTCCTCATTTCATAAATCCAAAAATCATTTATCGTGTCTAAGTTTCTTTTGCGAAATGAAAATTTGCAATGGAATTTTCAGAAATATTCTCCAACACTGGTCGTGGCAAATTTTTATTTTCTACATTTAGAGTTGCAATATTTCGGAGGAAAATAATCATTGCTGAAAACCATTTCCGAAATATATTCTCAAAGGTTTTTCATTGCCAATTTCTATTTTTAAATTGTATATTGAAAATTGAAAACTGAAACTTCGCAGCAACTTTGGCGGATCAGCCATCTCTGTTTAAGTTGCACGCCACTCTGCGTGGCTGCCGGGAATGTCTTCACCACTGGAACTTATTCGCAGACAAAAGGTTGGCTAATTGGGTACCCATTAAGATCTGGAGATTATCCCGACCCTAGTAATAGGACGACTCCCGGTTATCTGAAGGTTGCCGGGCTCTATTGAAGGAGCACCTTATTCTGCAGCGATAGATATACCGATGGACCAGAAACTGAATGATTACTAACAAATGATTAACTCAATCAAATCAATTAGATAAAATTTGGACAGAAAATTCATAGCGAGCCATAACGTGAGGGTTCGAGTCCGGCTTAGGGCAGGGGCATTTTAATCTTTCGGAAAACGTCGAATGGGAGTCCAGACACCAAGTATCATCGAGAAATATTATTTCCCGATGCTGGGTTGATAGGCGCCATGTCGACCAAGGTTTTCCATGGTTTTCCTTGGTCAACAGAAGAGTCTGTGCATGGCGTACAGCTCTTGGGACAAATGCGACTTCGTGGGCGAGGAACTCTGCCAATGTTACCGCAACAAAATGTAAAATACCGAGTAGGCTATACATGGTAGTAAATGAATAAATATTTCATGCAAGCCATATTATAACAAAAAGCTGCAATAAAACAACTATTATGTGTAAAATTTTATTCTTCGAAACTACTTCGATTACATTCAGTTTACAATGAAATTTACAGCTACGTCACGAAACTGATGGATAATCCGCTTAACATTATTAATTTAAACTATATTTAATTTATGAAACAAAAGTCTGTGATGCTCGTACTATATGTACTATCAGCAAATCAACTTATTTGCGGATGTACAGAAGAAAAAAATGAAAAATTATTCATTACTTGGCAGCTTATAATCTATCAATAACAAATATATGTTTATAGTATCGTTTCATGGTACATTACCTTAAAATTCAGCCAATTCAAATTATATTGTTAAATGCGAAGTAAGATATTTTACTACCGAGTAGACAATGATGCCTATAAGAAAAGAAACGAACACATTGAGCATTCGTGCTCATTGAGATTTATTTTATTCAATTAATCTAAAAATTAAATATTTTCATTTATTCACATCGTCACTTGTTCAAGAAAGCATCAATAAGGTAAATCATAAAAAATATATCCATATATTGTAACGGTGAGTTATGTTAATAGTTTTATGAGATAGAAAAAAAATGATATGTTTTATGACCTCATAATCGAATGTTCATATAAAACCTGGTAGAAAATTGTATAAACCGGTTAGGCCTGTTGCAATTGTGCAATTTATCGAAATTTTTATGATTGTTGAGATTGCTTTTGTATATCGTTAATTCTCCAATGTCTGATAAAATTTTGAGATCAGAAGTAATATTCACTATAATTTGAAAATTGATTGTTCAAATATACGTCGAGATTTGTCGAAACGATGAATATGAAAATGATGCGCGGTTATATACACATTAATAATCATCGTTTTCTTATTTTTTCAGTTGAATGTTTAAATAGTCTTAAAAAAGTAATCGTTTCCTTGTTGCGATTAATAATTACGGGATGAACAAATCAGTGATAATTACTGGACAAGCAATTCCTGGAAGATGAAAAAATCCAAAATGTGGGTGAATTTATTTGTAATTCAATAGAATATATTTTTCAAAATTCCTTCACTCTCCCTTTGTTTCTGTAAATTGCAGAGAGAGGAATAACAAATGCCTGTTTTTTAATCGCCTTACTATCTAATATCTTTAATAGGATTGTCCAACTTAGACGCTTTCGGTTGGACTCTGGAACTCGGAGAGTGCGTGAATAGGATTTTGCACTTTCTTTTGAGATCCCTTGCGAACCTTTGCACGTACTTCCTCAGGTCGTTCTGGCCGAACCAAGGGCTTCTTCTCTGGGGCTTTCATTTTCCACACGACAATTGGAGACTGTAAAGTATGAGAGCGACACATTGGTATATGGAACTCCTATAGCAATATCAACTGTTTAACTACATTTTGAGATGATTACTTACACTCTACAAATCCAAGGGATTAATTAGGAAAAAAATCAGGGTTCCAACTTTAATATTATATATTTTTTTTTCTTGTAATTCTAGTAGTGCTGGATTAAAATGGGAGACGGTAAAAATACGTCTACAATAACCAAATTTGCTCAAAATGTCTAAGACTAATTTATATATTTGTTAAAGGGACCAATTCCTCTAGAATTATCATAAAATCGATTTTTGTTTATATTCTGAAAATATGATATATTGAGAGTATACTATGAAGATGAAAATAGAAAATTGTGAATATTCAGCGGGCTATAGTATTTCGTCGAAAGCACGGAGACTAATCATACCCAGAAACTAGACAATTTAAAAGAGAGACAATTTGGATCTCGAAACTATATTTTTAAGAGGTGCTCGTGTTTTATAGTTCAAAATGTTCCTGACCAATCTGAAAGGAATTTTCAGGGGAAGTAGCCTACGTTTTATTATCGAAAGGATAGACCTAGAATTTTGAATATATCACATAAATAAATCACTTTTTTGGAGTGAAAATTGTCGGAAAAAAGTTTGAAAGTTTGAGTATATTGGACCGTTCAACTTCAATTTTTTCATATTTTTTTGTGCTTATACTGTGGCTCCACATGTTAGTAATGGAAGGCTTTTTTTTAATCAGCAAAAAAAAAACGAGAAAAAGAATGCAGCACTTTTCGGCCCCTATTTAAAAGGTCCGCCTCAAAATTCCATTCGGCCACTTTTTTCTATAAAATCATAAGTAATGGTAACTTAAAAAAATAAAACAGAAGTACTCACCGTGACAGTGGACTGTCTTGGATACTTGGTGGAAGCAACATAGGAAGCCTTGACCGTAAGTACGACAGCATTCATAAGATTCTTAGCAGCTTGAATCAACGATGTAGCCGAATCTAATCCAGAAACAATCAGCTCTCCACTGATGTTTTGTACGTCAGCTTTCACTTTGCTCGTAATATTCATTTGGTGGCAGTACAATGCAATTCTCTGCAGATAAGCTATTAGGTCTTTCTTGGTCGAGCTCTCAGGACACTGATCAGCAATCTGCCTCGTCAGCTTGTCCAGCTTGGTTCCAGCTTCGGAAATCTTTTTGGCAGCAGTAATGACATCCATCGTAGTTTTAAGAGGTCCGCGTCCCCTTGTGAAATCAGTCATCTCCATCATAATCATGCACATGTGCTTAGCCAGAACAATGATATCATTACCAGCATCATCCCACTTGGCCACCTCTCTATCAAACTTAAGTTTTTCATTCCTGAAGTTTTCAACCTGCTGTAAAATCTTCTGCTTATCCTCCTCCGTCATCTTCCTCATGGCCTCACGCGCTGTGGTGATGCCGCTGATCTCAGGATACTCATCGACTCCATGCTCTCCTGTCTGCGCACTGGACTTGCTCCTTGTTTCAAGAGTGTACTGCTCGTCGAGCTCGACGTCCTCAGGATCTAGGTCCTCATCAGCTCGATTCATGAGGACGGCACGACGAATTTCTCGCACTCCATCGTAAACCAGTCTGGAAGCATCGATGAAGTCATTTTCATTGACATCTTTAGCTGGATTGCTACTCAATGCATCAACAGCTACTTTAACTCTCTGCGCAAATTTAGGCATGACTTGTTCACGAAGAACTTTGACAGCTTCAAGCACTCGCTTTGTATAAATGCAAGGCTCATAGTTGTCCATTTCTGCCTGCACGACATTGCAGACTCTTGAGGAACGCCCACGAATGGCACCAGCTGTCCTGTCGAGGGTATCGGCATCGCCTTCCTGTAGAGCCATCACACACTTATTGACATCTTCGAGAATGTGGTTCTCGGAAACACCCAAAAAGTCATCTATAGTCGTGATGTCGTCGACTGCTTCTGTTAACACGCGAACCTGATTCTCCCAGGCCTGACGGAACACCTGCATATTCTCCATAGCGAGTTGCGACCGAGGACGCACTGCTAGAACTCGGGCGGCATTGATCACTTGAGGGCAAAGATTTTCGATCTGCGCTGCAGCGTAACGCACCATCTTAACACCGTCTTCGTTGGCTGACATGCTGCACACCAGGTTAGCTACTTCAACGAGCTTGTTCGCATGCTCGGTAAACACCAGGGCATATTCTTCTACTTCCTCGTCGTTGCCCTTCTCAGCAGCTTTTATGAGAATTAACAGGGGGACGGACGTTTCCAGAAAGCTGTCCGAGACATGGTCCACCACCGCCTTACGCAACTGACGTCGAAGATCACTGGTTTTCTTACACATGTGGTCAATTGCGCGTTCGAGACCCTCCGACTGCTCCTTTACACCCATCTACAGAGGGTTTCAACGGTATTAGATAGTAAACAGCATTAGATTCGCGTTAGAAGGGTGAAGAAGATCCAAAAAGTTTAAGTGACTTTTTTAAATTATAACTTTACGACTATAGAGCTTAACGCCTATTGCAAGATTTCTTGGGAACTCAGAGAGACAGATCCTATATTATAAAGAATATCTTAGAAAACTAAAATTATCGATACTGCAAGTGTTCTCAGGGAAAACTATTTATAAAACTAATTATTACAATGAAGATTCAAAATAAAAAGTGATATTATATTATTTCGCTTTGGAGATAAAGCTGGGAGAATTGCAAAGAAAGTTTGTTCATATTGAAGAAAAAAGTAATTAATGGATGGTGTGTACTGAACGTAATCTTTGGTTTGAATTTCATCATGGTAGAGTAAAATATCTTTAAATTCGGGTTTCAAATTGTGTTGCGGAATTTACTCCAATTTACTGAAAAAAGTAAGGATAAAGGAGATGAAAATTTTTTGAAAGGTAGCAGATCGAGATATTTATCTCAAGACATCTGCAGAGTTTACAGAGCAATAATGAAAAATACGCAGTTTATCATTAGTCTAGTGCATTTTGATATTATATTGTTATTGACTGTGTTTTTTCATCCAGCGTGATGGCCCATAAACTTCGTATTTCCAATTACTTTTCTGTAAACTGGACAGATACCTTGGAATCAATAGGTTGATCTACCATTTTTCAACAATTTTTCCTCTTTTTTTGCCTCTGAACGGAAGACTGGCATTTAACCGATTTTTCCATTCTCTGATTTCAATTGAAAGTTATCTACAATGTTTTGAAGCGCGACAAACGATGTTTCTAGATCATATCTGTGTGTATGTGCTGGAAAATTCGAAATTAGAACATTAATCGTGAGAAAATTCTGCATAAATACGATAAAATTTGTAGCTGGAAATCTGATTTTTAACTTATGATAGCTATCGTTAACCTGTACTTTGATGTGTCGTTTCAGCTCGATCGATCCACTAGTTCCTGAGATATAGCAACTCCTGTAAATTTCGTTTCTCCGTAATATCTCAAAAATTACTGTAAAGATTTTTGTTTTTGTTTTCAAGATGCTTGTCTCAATGAGTCCTATCGATATCAATCGAAATATCTCCATTTGTTCATATAAAATTTCATGATATCGCTGTTTTTACGTTTTATCATTATAAATATTGTGAACACGATAAAGTAACAAAGAATAGAGATAATATAAAATGTTCGTATTTTGGATGAACGCAATCTGCCAAGCGGTTCTAGAGATATTACACCTTTTGCGTGAATGTATTTCTTTGAATATTTCATGAACCACCGAATGGATTTCAATTTTTTTATTCATGATACTCGTCTCAGTGGTTCCCATAAAAAGCTATGAAAATATGTATACCCGTTCGTACAAAAATCACGAGATATGCCGATTTTTCCGTTTTTTGCTTCCAAATGAAGCAGTTGCAATCGTTCGATTTTTTGATTCCCTAATTTTGTCTGAAAATGATGTGGAACGGTGAGAAACGGAAAAATATGAAGTTTGAGAAAATGGGAGGAATGAACGGATAAATTGATTCCAAAAATTTGAAATTGTCAGTTCATAGATCTCATTATGGACTTGATCTGTGTTAAATTTCAGCCCGATCGGTGGGTAGTTTTGGAAATATCGTTGATTGTTTCTGAAAAGTTTTTTGTAACTATCTGAGACACTATCCAACCGATGTCATTTTTTTTTAATGTTCGTCTTAATGTGCTCCATGCAGATGAGTCAGAATATATATACCTGTGTTCCTACAAAGTTTTCGAAATATTTCCATTTTCATATTTCTCCAAAAAATTAATTGTACGCGTTCTCTGATTTCTGAAAATCGATCTATCAACTTGTCTATCGTTATACCACGACTCACTTCGGGACCCAAATATAGAAATAGCTTAGGCTAATAAAATAAAATTCAAACCAAAGATTACGTTCGATAGTTACTTTTTAATATTTGGAAAGGATCCGTCCAAAAAAGCTGAATTCTAGTGTATTGGCGACCGAGAAGAATAGAAAAGGAGATACTTCTAGTTAAATTTTTATATTGCCGAGCTATTGTTATGAAGTTTTTCACTCGTGTGGATTTGGCTTTCGAGCTGCAGGCGAGAACTGGCCAACCATACGAGTGAAAAAACCCCATCCCACGAGCCCAAATAGTATTTGTCCGCAGCGATTTTCAAGTTTTCCAGTTTGGGAAGTATGCAGTACCTATTCCCAGACGAGAAATTGAGAGAAGCAGTACAGACAAAATTTTTCATAACCAATGCGAATTATGTCTTCGGATAATATCATCGATTTTCACTGTAATCGAATGTTTGATTATATGCAGAACATTTTCTTGTTACGTCCGCTATTCTTTCCATCGTCATTATCATCAACATGAACTTCACACAAAACTCCCGAATCTAAACAAAAAAAAAAGATATTTTAGTTTTTTTTGCAGATTGCACGAAAACTATGAATGAACTTCTATCTCTATCACTTCTCGAATAGCTTATCCTGACTGGAAATCAATTATCCTCCACTCCACCGGTGGAAATGTCAATTTGATAAGTCTAGATGATAGTACCTTCCCACATTAGATGGAGAATTGTTTTTATGAATAAATAGGTTCCCTTCTAACTCGCCTCTAGCACGAAATCAATTTCAGATATACTTAAATAGTTAGAAATGATTGAAAAAAATTTTCTCCTCTTCGATTATACGAGTTTTATGATAAAATCTGTTCTTGGATCTCCTCTGATTAGTTTCAAACGCACACAAATACATCTACTTCCTGCTATGTGGAATAATTATCGTTGAGATGGTTCCATGATCAATGATGCGTGATATGGAGCAAAACTATGTTAGACACTAATAATAAGCAAAAATAAATCATCTTTATTTTGCATAATGTGACGTTTAACAGAGTTTCCAGTTATTCTGGCGTTTAGAATTAATGATGGGGCAATTAAAGCTGCAAGTCTTATGGCAATATTAAAGCATTGTCTTAAAATGCAAATTACTATTTATTATTTTAGTATAATGAAAAAAATCAGTATTTGCACTTGATGCTTTGTACAACAATATTTACCCGTTTTCTAACACGGGCTAGTTGTAACTGTGATTCCTCATAGAAAGAAAAGAATAAACCAGTGAAAGAGTAAATCAAGGTCCTTGAAAGATGAATTAGAGTGAGAAAAAAATTAATGAAATGTAGATTTCAAGATTATTACTCAAGAAAAAGTCGTGTAGATTGTTTCACGAATACATACGAATTTAACATTTTTGTATGAATTCCTATCCAGATTTTATACGCTGACAGGAAAAAATTGCTCTGCTGAAAAACTACATGTTAAGCCACAAACAATGTGTTGGACTCGGAAAAATGGTCGTTCAGAAGAAAATCTCCAGCGAAAGTTTAGTTGGTTCTGCTCGAAAATTTGATAATGACATATACGCATCATTTCGAGTATGCATTCCGAAAACTCAAATATGATGTTAAAAACAATGTATTTAAATAAAAATCAAAATCTCTGTGGACAAATTTTCATTATTGACAATATAATTAATTTGCTTCTCACTTATTATTCATTATTAAATAGAAGATTAAGTTGAGTTCCTAGGCAATAGAAGAATTAATTTGAGAGCATCCTAACGCTTTTTTATGAAACTGTAGAGTAACTCCAGAAAGCCCATATTTTCAGGAAAAAATATGTCTATATTTTTTAACCGAATGAATTTATTTTCGACAGAACAATTTTTTTGCATCGGCATATACAGAATGTCGTCACCGAAAAATGTAACTTGTTAGTGAGCATCCGAAAATTAAGAGTGCTGTAAAACTCACGTTATTCATGTACTCGCTGAGCAGATCCTGAAGCGCCTGCCTGACAGCATTGCACTCAGCAACAATTCGTTCACGTCGTTCATCCCGTGTACAGGATGAGTCAGCCATGAGTGCGGCTCCACTGATAATACTTTCAAGACGTTCTTCAAGGCTAGGTCGAGTACGAACTTCATTGTAAGCCAATGGTGACATAACCATTCGCTCATCAAAGTCATCAAGAGCCGCAGCAAGTTCTCCAGGGCCATCATAAGGATGTTGTCCATCAGCTGGAACCTTGCCCTGGGCGACGTCATTAATTGTATTAACAGCTTCGCAGACTTGCTTAAGAACATAATCACGATTTGCTTTGGCTGCTGCTAACTCCGGGTGACGCACGTAGACCTTGGAAGCTGTCAAGAGCATTGTCGAGTGTTTTTTAAGGACAGCACGAGCAGCTGCTAGATCATCGCGAAGCTGTGGATCCTTCAACTCCTGCTGACGCTTTGCTGCTTGATTCATCAGTTCCGAGGCATTCCTCCCGAACTGTTTGATATTCTCTAGAAGCTCTCCCTGAGAGGATGCGTTTTTCAGCTTCTTTAAATCGTCTTCCACGATGTGAAGAGACTTTAATAGCAGGTGCACGTCAACCATATCTGCTAAGATCAACAAGCGTGTGACAGCTGATAAAAGATTCCTCGCTGCTCTCACCATGTTTCCACGTTTCAAGGAAGAGCAAGGATCCTCTGAGAACTCCCTTGCAGCGATACTCATTGCTGCACCCGTTTTTTTCACTTCCTCCACAGCACACAGCATCTCAGCTGTTATGTCCGGATTCTCGTAGGCGATTTGTTCGCCCTTCTCTATGAAATTTGTTGTAGCTTTTTCTACAGTCCCTACTAAAGCACTCGCTCGTTTTGACTTTCCTTTTTTTTTCTTGCTCGGGCCCTTAGTGTTGACGAGGGTCGTTACTTGTAGGACAAGGGGCTCGAGGGTTTTCTCTACTGACATTGTACGAATTTCGAGATTCTTTGGGTCCCATTTTAGAGTTATTGGCCCAAAGTCTGACATTGTGAAGGAGTAGAATTACCTGGAGATGACGAAAAAATAATTAAATCCATGGATTATAGTGAGAATATGGTGGAAAATTACTTTGGTATGCTGATGATGGTTACATAAAATAATTTACAAATTTGAGTGAGAAACTTTAATTTGCAAGCTTGGAAACAATTCTCGTATTATAATTTCCGGCTTCAAATACAATGAAATATTTCTCCTCCGTGTCAGGACTTTTTGTTAATCAAATTGAAAGGGACAGTAAGCATATTTCAATAAAAATATATAAAATTATAAGACTTTTTAGTAAAATAACAGTGATGGACATTTGAAATACAACACAAAAGTTATTAAACCTCATATTATTAATTAACTTCAAGAAACCTCGTTAATAAGTAATTTTACCACACGTAGTCAATTCAAATTGCCATTGCCATTTGGAAAAAGAGAAAAAAAATGATATATTTCTATCATTATTGATCAAAATAATAATAATAGTTATTGGTGGTAATATTAGAATAATATTTATTTTATATTATTGATCTTCGATGAAAATTGATGTTTCTGTAAAACTCGAAAATGCTCAATGAAACAACATGATTTAGTAAAAATCAATAAACCACTCTATTATTAATCCCTTTTCACGTTTCACCTATAGAGAAAAAAAAACACTAATTCCCAACTCCAATCCGAAAAATAAAATTGCAGTTCAATTTGTCATCATATCCATTATAAAAAATGTCTTGAAAAAATAATTTCGAATTCTTTGCCCTCCTCAGCATTACTCATTCTCAAAGTATGAAAGTTGTCTTTTAGGTTAAGATGACTCATACGCTGACGCGATGAATGTCTCATATCATGCAGATGGACTTCCCCGACTCAGTATTTTATCAAAACAATAAAGAAGCTTCAAAATTCATCAGTATACATTGAAAAACTTGATAAAAATAGCAATTCAAGGTATATTCCTTGGACACAGCTGAGTAAATCTATAAAAATCTTCAATGATAGATACAATGGCCCATGCATGATTCTATATGAAGAGAAAAATCTTTACCTGCTCATAAAAGTTCTGACGAATGTATTTTCTTGTCTACAGCGGATTACAGAAACGACTATCACCCTGAGTATTCACTGTTTAATTCAACTTTCATTCGTCGGTGACTTTCAAATAAATACCTAAGATTAAACTTCACTTAAAATCCCACAAACCTCTCAGTTTTACAATCTCTGGTTTTACTATGCGTTTTCATTCCCTGCGTCATTATTTCCGTTTGCAAGCGGCCGAGTCGAGAGAGGGAATTATTTCAGGGACGGCATAGGGCGTCTACGCCCCAATACTTTGATAAAGTAGGAAATCTCTGAACCATATGTATAAGGTAAGCTTACCAACAGAGCATTATAAGCATTCTAGCTTCCCAGATAGCACACGACCGTACGGTGTACTAGTATATTGTTACCGTTGTTACCCTTCATTTTTTCTATATATAGATAGATAGAATGTTTAAGGTCGACATAACCTGCAGACTGGTGATAGATATCATGATAATTCAACCAATAAAAACAAGCATGTTAGATTTTTTTCTTAATAAACTGTGACCATCGTTAATACAAGTGTCCAAATTTAAATTCTCAAATTGGAAAATGATCTTGAAGAATTTTATGTCGTGAATGTAAAGGATTACTTAAAAATGAATTCAATCTATATTTGAAGATACTTCATGAAGTAAGTAAAAACAAATTGACTGAGACAAGTAAACAGTGTTTGTTAGATATTAAGTAATAAATG